AGATGATGCCTTCCTGCAGTTCTGTGGACGCCCTGCACACGTGTTGTGTCTACTGCGTGGTCAGAAGAGGCAGGGTCACACCATGCACGCCCTGGAAGCCACGCCCAGGCCACTGCAGAAGGGCTCCTCATGCTGGTGCGAGGAGAGCAGCACGCATGTGTTACATAAACTCTGGGGGACTGTTCAGGCTGAGCCAGAGCCCGTGAAATGGTCTGGCGAAGGCCGAAAGGAGGAGATGGAGAGAGTGGTACAGAGCGAGGTCCATAAGCAACATTGGGCTAATTAGATAGCCATCAGAAGAGAATGGAATCTGAGTGATTTTTTAGAAATAGCATTGTAGCCATTAACAGAAATCATGAAAACCAAAGAGGATTTCGAGACAATAGCAGAACTATCTGATACATATTAATTTGATGCGAGGCCATATTATCTAAAGAATATCTGTAGGCTTTAAGTCCCAGAGTGATTTGATTTGGGGGCCAGAGATACAGATCTGAGAATTGCCCACCAACCTTGGAAGTGACTGTGTAAGCTTTGGAAGGAAAGGAGCCCTCAGAAGTGGTGAAGCACAGCCATGAAAAAAAACCCTCAGGGTATATGTTCACACCTGGCCGCACGAAGAAGGGCCAGGGAAGGCAGGAAGAAGCCGTGACTTAAAAGCTAGAGGGGGGAGGACCTGGGTGGCTCAGTCAGTTAAGCATTCGACTTTGGCTCAGGTCATGATCTCACGGTTCGTGGGTTCAAGCCCCGCATTGGGCTCTGTGCTGACAGCTCAGAGCCTGGAGCCTGTTTCGAATTTTGTGTCTCCCTCTCTCTCTGACCCTCCCTTGCTCATGCTGTCTGTCTGTCTCTCTCTCTCTCCCTCCCTCTCTCTCTCTCTCTCTCTCTCAGAAATAAATAAAACATTAAAAAAAAAAATTTAAAGCTAGAGGGGCGCCTGGGTGGCTCAGTCAGTTGAGCCTCCGACTTCAGCTCAGGTCATGATCTCATAGTTTGTGAGTTCAAGCCCCACATCGAGCTCACTGCTGTCAGTACAGAGCCCTCTTCAGATCCTCTGCCCCCTTCTCTCTCTGCCTCTCCCCTGCTTGTACTCTCTTTCAAAAATAAATACATTAAAAGATAATTAAAAAATAAAAGAAAACTCTAGCTGAGCATGTAAAAGAGACGGCAAGCATACCGAACACACCCCTCCTTCCTCCAGGGCAGACATTACTAGTTGATTGTGGCACTTGCACCCCTCCTTCCCCCAGGGCAGACATTACTAGTTGATTGTAGCACTCATTCTCCAAGAGCCTGGAGCCAGCCTTGGAATCCTCAACGTGCGTTCTGGGCAGCTGCCCAAAGCTATCTCTTTCAAAAAAGTTGAGAACGGTCCTCCATCCCTCACTGTAACATCTCAGAGTAGAAAGGCCCTAGGGGCCCCCCAGAGATGCCGACTTTCCAACAGACTCTCTTAGAAGAGGACACACAACAAGGGGTTGAACTCCTCAAGGGTGCAGAGACCCAGAGTCGGCTGTTCCATCTGCGGACAGCCCCGAGGGGAGAGACTCTCCTGCAGGTACAAACAGGAATGGTTAGTGACACAGAAGATACTAGAAAAGGAAACTTGTATCTGATATAAGTAGACAGAGAAGACAGGTGGTGGAGTTGCCTTTAAGGTGATTGAGAAGCCACAGAGGAGATGCTGTAGGGAGAGTTAATTTGGAAATTTGCAAGAAATGCACTCTGATGTTCCTGTGAACGCCTTTATATTTGTCCCCATGAATAGATCTTACCTGCAAGGGTGAGTCTTGTTTACAGGATGAAATAGGGCAAGGCCAAACTTTAGCAATTGGATTTGAAAGTTCGGTGTTTGCATGGGGTATGACCAGCATTTCAGTGGGAAGCTGCTCGGTAACAATTACTGCATTGGAATGAAACACAGAAGTATGGATGTGAGTATCTGTGTGCAGACCACACACCCCCATCATTGTTTTCCCTGCTTTGTATCCAATCATCAGAAAGTTTGTGTGTCTTGGGGCGCCTGGGTGGCTTAGTCGGTTGAGCGTCCGACTTTCGCTTAGGTCATGATCTCGCGGTTCGTGGGTTCGAGCCCCGCGTCGGGCTCTGTGCTGACTGCCAGCTCAGAGCCTGGAGCCTGTTTCAGTCTGTGACTCCCTCTCTCTCTGACCCTCCTCTGCTCACGGTCTCTCTCTCTCTCTCCTAGAAATAAATAAAAAATATTTTTTAAAAAAAAAAAAAAGTTTAAAAAAAAAAAAAAAAGAAAGAAAGAAAGTTTGTGTGTCCTGCATGACCCATCCCTTGCCACCTGCGTGGTACCAGCCACCACGTGACTGAGCCCTAATCCGTGTAAGGCAAGCTCGGTTCCTTCCCTTCATTCCAGAGGACGTAACTTGTGATTCAGGCTAAGAAGCCTGACAGCAGACCAGTTGTGCAGAAATTTAACTGGGAAGCTAATGGTCATTTTTTTTTTTTCCACTGAAAGATCCAATAAATCCCTATCGGGGGTGCTTCTGTCATGCATTTGAATTTCACCGATTAAGAAAAGCGTGAGGCTGTTTGGCAGATCTAATGAACAGCTGTCACGGACGGCCGGTGAATTAGCGCATGTGCCTGACTGCCCCGAGGTGGCTTACCTCGTTCCCTGTTATCTCGCCTACCTGTTCTCTGGGAGAGTTTTGCACAAAATACACAAATTTGGGGCGCCATCTTACAAAACTCAGTGTACAAGGCATTGTAATTTATAGCGTTATAAAACCCTGTGGGTCAAGACGCTGGATGTTTAAAAATCCATGGGTGTAGGGTCTCAGCCAATAATCATGAGATATAATTGCAGGTCAGTCACAGGCAGACCTATTGGGAAGTCACAGCTAGTTTTGAAAATGAAAATCCCAACTGGGCTGTGAGTGACCGCATTGCCGGGGGCAGGGCGGGGGGGGTCCTGCAGACCCCGCCCCCCCTTCCTGCCCCACCTCTCCTGTCCTTCCCACAACAGGTGCAGCATTCCGCTTCTGCATAAACACAGGGGTGGTTTGTCCTCAGCCTCAAGAGCACAGTACATTGGAGTAAATTTTCTGATGGCCCCCCCCTCACTTTCTGCACTTACATCACGAGCTCTCCAGAACTCAGGAGCCAGAGAGAGTCGGGGAGCCTGGGCTGATGCTCACCTCACGGGCTCAGCAAGCAAGGGGAAGACCCCCTGAGGCTCGGGCATCGTGTCCCCATGGCCTTGCCCCTCTCCCTTCCAGGGGCTCCCGCACTCATTCCTTCCCTGGCTTGGTCCCAGGCTTCTCCAGCTGCAGCCCAGCTCAGGGGCAGTGGGCACCGGCGCCCCCCCCCCCCACAGGACTTCTAACAACTCCAGGTTGTCACAGACCTTAGAGAAGCTAGTGGAAGCCGCAGACCCTCTTGCCAGACAAACGTCACTCATGTGCCCTAAGGCCGGTGCGCTGATAGGAGGCAGCCTCCAACAACGGCGTCCCCACTGGACATACCCACCTTCCCTACCTTCGGGTGCTGCCAGAGCGAGGCCCAGCTCCCCAGGGGGCTAAATCCTAAAACCGCAGCAACAGTGACTTTGCACCGAGCACAATACCGCCAGTCATCAGAATGTGCAAAGATTTTGCGTGCAAGCGTCCCGGCCCTGTTTCTGAAGCAGGTTGTGGTCATTTAGGGAAGTGGATCCCAGGCCCTGTGCCCACCCCCACCCCCCACAATGGGGTCAGCGGCATCCATGGGGTCAGGCGGGAGGGTGGCTGAGGCGGCTCCCTCCTGAGATAAAGGGCAGCGGGGAAGGGTAGCTGGAGAAGGCTGCGATCGCCTTCCAGAGCGGAGCGGCATCCTTACCTCGAGGCTCAGGGGCTGGCGGGGAGGCAGGGCTCTGGGCAGGAAGCCCCGAGAAGGCCGGGCCTGACCCAGGCAGCAGGGAGCCCGGCGAAGGTCAGGGGCTGGGAGGGCTGCCCGGGGTCCGGGCTAGGGGAGGCGAGACTGTGCGAGATGCGGGGGAGGGGGGTTGGTGCTGTAGACGTGACCACGTGCCTGTGGCCAAGCGGTCATCACAGAAGCGGTCCACTCCGTAGACCGTAGGTGGTTCTCATAATCAGTGACAACTTCTCACGGGGCAGTTGTAACCCAGCTTCACGGCCTGGTGACTGGAAATCACAAATCAGATGAGGAGTTGTGCCTGCAACTCACGCTCCTCATTTCTTGTCTCTGTGACAGTAACGGGGTGAGGGAGGAGAGAGGGAAGAACGGCGTCTCCCGTGGCCCAGGCCCTGTCACTTAGCCGCTGGGTGACACTGTGCAGTAGGTGGCCTCTCCCCGCATGTTAAGAGCAAGGAAGTGAGCCTTGGTGGAGTCAAGCATCTGTCCAAGGACCCCACCGTGGCGGGCGGTACAGCAGGGTTTGACGGCACGTCCCCCTCCTCGCTGTGCAGATGGTGGCCCCATGGCAGCTATGAAGTCGCCTGAGGTCACCGGGCGTCCCGTCCGCCCGCCCTCCAGGCGGGAGATGATGGGATGTGAGCCCGCTGCGGTGGGTCCTGTGCTGATAAAGAACAGAAAGCCCCCAGGCACCCCTGTCTGCGGCTGCCGTACCCACGGATCCCCACACAGACGCCTAAAAGAAATCAAGACTGCACCCCGACATTAGCAGCATTAACTTAATTTTCACCCCACAGATACCCGAACGGGACAGTGAGTTCCGGCGTTATTTCCCCAAGGCGCTTCCTCTGTGCCCAACACAGAGACGCTGACATCACACACTGGTTTTCATTTGCCCTCATCCCCTGCGCACTGGCTGAGCCGCAGCTACACCACTCTGCCTTTAGGAGCCAAATCTCGGGTGTTGGGAGGTCTGCGGATTCAGATCTCCGCCGCGTCGGCTGCCGGCCCCATGCAGGCGCGACTGAACCCAGAAGCGCTTTTATGACCGAGCCCTGGCAGCGGGGCCGCGGGCTCATGAAAGCTAAACTCTTCATCCCCACCACTCTCTGTTTCAGAACAAGAAGAAAACTTTGAGTTTATCATCGTGTCCCTCACTGGCCAGACGTGGCACTTTGAAGCCACCACGTATGAAGAACGAGACGCGTGGGTCCAAGCCATCGAGAGCCAGATCCTCGCCAGCCTACAGTCCTGTGAGAGCAGCAAGAATAAGGTAAGGCCCTCAGCACGCTGCGCCCCGAAATCAAGAGCCGCGGATCGTTAAAGGGAAGTGGAGGCCCCTGGGTAAAGCCCGAGGGAGGGGAACCATCATGTGATGTGCGTGATTGACAAGACCCAGTTACACTTCCTGAGCCACAAGCTGAATAATTGAAAAGATGAGAAAAGGCCCTGTGTCGACGGGCATCACGTATTAGCATCCACACCGAAGCGCTTTGGCGCGGCGCCATGGACCGGTTTCCACCTTCCCCCCCTCAGCTAACCCCACACAGAAAGTGGTGGCCTCTTGATGGTGCACGATGGCCTCATGGCTCGTGTGCCCACATTGATTTTGTTTTACGCAGAACACACTCGGGAAAAGAGGGGCAGACTTAAAAGATGCGCTGTCCCCTCACAAGTGCACAACAGTCAAACCACGTCAGGCTGGAAAACCGAGTCTCGTTACGGACGGGCGTCCGGGAAGAGCGGAGGCGCCTATGTGAGCGTCCAGTGTGCTCTGGAGGATGCCGCTGATTATGCCCCATATGTGTTTTATGCACCAACCAGAGGGGGCTCTGCAGTTCTCTAGCCAGAAAACAAGCAAACAAACAAAAACTCTAAGCTGCATTTTCTAGATCCCTGGCAGTGATATTCCTCAGAGAAGGGTCATCTTTCCCGTGAGGGCTTCCTCCCGATTCACCGTCTTAGTGGCTTGGATGCTTTCAACCCCTTCTCTGGGACATTTTTAGAGTCTTGAAGAGCATTTTGACTTTTCAGACTATCATCAGCCAGAAACCGAGAGACACAGTATCTCCCACGGACCTGCAGTCTCATTTGTAAGCATTTCAAGAAATTTCTGCCAATGATTTATGCTCAGCTTAGCTTTGTCACTAAGAAAGGAGTCTGTCTTTCAGGAAGGGGGAAGTGTCCTACTTCGTCACCCTCTTTAACCAGCGTCAACCAGGCCACAGCCGTTACTGTTATAATGTAATTTGCCTCACTTCTTTAAAGATGGTTTAGACCCAAGGTGGGGAGAATCACTGCCCTTCCTTTCTGAGACCTCGGCTTTCCTGAGTCACATCCACAGACAGGGCTCCTGAGGGGTATTCAGGGACACTTCCAGATCTCCTTGCGGGTGGGGGTTGGCCATACACGTCCCACACACGGCACGGGAATCTAGTTCCAAAACAGGAGTGCGGGCTCTTGGCTAAACAAAGACATCTCCAAACTTTGTACACGATCACAGGATTTCAGCTTAGACTCCGAATCCACGCCACATCATCCGGATTCAGGGAGATCCTAATCTCCCGTGGCTTTTTTCCATTTCACACCGTTGCCAGACCCTTACCAGCTCTTTGGGAGAAGAGACAGCATCCCTTCTTCTGGCCGCATGCACCCAGGCAGCGCTGTCTCCCAGGGGGCACTCACGGGGCACCAGGGAGGACAGGTTCACCCCTGTTCACCTTGGCTGCTTGCGGAAAAGGTGTCAGAGTGCCCAGCACGGAAATCCCTTCCACAAGGAATAGCTGGAGGGAAATACAGACCTCGCTGAGGATGAGCTCTAAGAAATGTTAGCTGTCTGTGGGTAACTCAGTTGGTAGCAGGCATAGGTGTGTGCACACACACAAACACACACACACACGCTGTGGAAGTTGGACAGGTAGACAGACACAGGCAGGCACATGCACACATAGTCCAGATGCCAACGCAAATTGTTAAATACACTTTGAAAACTTGGGTATCTAACCAAAGGGAATAAATTCCTACTAACGCGTTATGCTAATTACATAGTAGAAGTGAATAAATTATCATTGATATTGCTAGGTAGTGAGCAATCAGTCGTTTCCCCTCAAACAGTTTGACATGAGAGGTTTCAATTTATGTATTCTGACGTGAAAACCAAAGCTTAAGTGTCCTCTGAAATTTGTTTGGGTTTTACCATTAGTAAATGTATACATCATAAACCTTTAAAAACAGTACATGGGGCACCTGGGTGGCTCCGTTAATTAAGCATCCAACTTCGACTCAAGTCATGATCTCACGGTTCCTGAGTTTGAGTCCCTTGTCAGGCTCTGTGCTGACAGCTCAGAGCCTGGAGCCTGTTTCACATTCTGTGTCTCCCTCCCTCTCTGCCCCTCCCCTGCTTGCGCTGTGTCTCTGTCTCTCAAAAATAAACAAACATTAAAAAAATTAAAAAATAAAACTAAAATAAAATAGAAACAGTACATATCCCGGGGCACCAAGTTGATTCAGTCCATAAAGCACGCAACCCTTGATCTTGGAGTTGTGAGTTCAAGTCCCACATTGAGTGTAGAGTTTACTTGAAAAAAAAAGAGTTATGGGGCGCCTGGGTGGCTTAGTCAGTTAAGCGTCCGACTTTCGCTTAGGTCATGATCTCACGGTTCGTGGGTTTGAGCCCCGCGTCGGGCTCTGTGCTGACTGCCAGCTCAGAGCCTGGAGCCTGTTTCAGAGTCTGTGACTCCCTCTCTCTCTGACCCTCCCCTGCTCATGCTGTCTCTCTCTCTCTCTCCTAGAAATAAATAAAACATTAAAAAAAAAAAGAAAAGAAAAAAACAGTTAGCTATAAAAACAGTACCTGTCATTTTACCCAGCACCTCTACCTCCAAAAATTTGTTGTAAGTAATGACAAAAGCAGGCAGAGTTTTGGCAGTAAGTGAGTTCTTTACAGCACTGTTTGCTCTGGAGAAAAATTGGAAGCCACTTAAATGTCCACTAAAAAACTTCATTAAGAAGCTCTGGTAAGTGGAACAGCCACTTCAGTTGGTGAAGTTGGAGAACCAACATAGTGGCATTGAGAAATGACTGTGTGTCATTAGGCTAAAAGGGCAGATTCTATGGGCACCTGGGTGGCTCAGTTGGTTGAGCTTCCAACTTCAGCTCAGGTCATGATCTCACGGTTCGTGGGTTTGAGCCCTGTGTCAGGCTCTGTGCTGACAGCTCAGAGCCTAGAGCCTGTTTCCAATTCTGTGTCTCCCTCTCTCTGACCTCCCCCCCCCCCCCGCTCACACTCTGTCTCTTTCAGTCTCTCAAAAATAAATAAACGTTTAACAAAAATTTTTTAAGGGCAGATCCTAAAGCAGCAACATATGCCTGCTCCTTTTTATAAGTAACCTACGTGTACAGATAGGCTCTAAAACCCAGGCTAGGCTAGAAGAATAGATACCAGAATGTTAATAAAACTGAAGTATAGGTAATCACATCATCGTTTATATATTTTATTTTGTCCCTTTCTCCCTTCTGTATTTTTTTTAACATGGAGAGGGAAGACGGTTATGTATCAGTTTAAAAACCAACGCCGCTCCCTGCCCCGGCCCGAGTTGGTGACTTAGTGGCTGTGAGATAGTCTTAGTATGAAAAGTGAGTCTCCAGGGCGTGAAGTGTGGTGTGGCCATGGCTTCCTGGCGAGGAACCACAGGCTGTGCCTCGTGGCGCTGACCAAGCCCTGTGACCCACGGCTTCTCAGACCACGTATTTCTGGTTCGGTCGTCTTTACGGCAGCAGGCACACAGCACAACGTGTTTACCAGTACATTCTCCAGGCGCGGCTGGGCGCCCACTCTGGAACGGCCCAGAACCCCCCTCCGTCCTCCTTTCCGGTACAGCCCGCATGTGCTAGGTCTTGACACAGTGCACGCCGCGATCTCCATCAGTTACACTTTGTTCCCCAAGATGTCAGAACGCGGGGTTAGGGGGGAGGGGCGGCTTGAAACGGCCCCCCTCCTCTGTCTGCTGACACACGGTGTGGTTTTCTTCCCCGACGTCACTAGCGGGTGTGGAAGTGTCTCCTGGGGCTCTTACGTCTTGCATTTGTGTGTCTTCCTCCATGTGCCCAGTCCCGACTGACGAGCCAGAGCGAGGCCATGGCCTTGCAGTCGATACGGAACATTCGAGGGAATTCCCACTGTGTGGACTGCGAGACCCAGAGTAAGTGTGGGCAGGGGTGGGGGACGGAGCCTGGGGCTGGGCAGAGGGGGGGCCAGGTCGGGGGGCCGGGGGCCAGGCAGAGGGCAGTGGGGTGGCCTGGCAAAGCCCCGGTCGTGGCAAACCTGCCATTTCCCACATAAGGGCAATCATATCACGCAACGGCCTGTAAGGAATTGACACGTTCTCGTTTGGATTTTATTTTAACACCGTCCCCTTCACCCAAAAGCCTCACTGACAGCACCCTGGGTCTCCTGTAGGTCTCCGGCCTCGGGCGTTCTGGGGGAACGGCAGCCACCCACGCCAAGGGCTCCCGGGCACCCAATTCACGGCCAGAGTCTGTGCCAAACCCAGGAATTAACCTTTTGCTTACTCAATGATCATATGCTCATTTGCTTTTTCATAAACAGACAGTGCCGTTGTTAATCCCTGCCCGGAGATTTCTGGAGTTTGTTTTTCTTTTTAATTGCACAGTCATTTTGGCATCAAAACAGTCCCTTTTTTTTTTTTTTTTTTTTGCCAATGTTAAATTTAGCGTACACTAAAGCATCTGATTGAGCTCCTAGACTTCATAATTACTTCTTCGTGCCTCGGAGTAACCCAGTTTTACTTTGTGCTTCCTGTGCAGTCCGGTACGGAATGTGCTTTTCCCTCTGAGAAAGTCGTGTCGTTGTTTGCATCCTTGAGGTTCAAGGCTGGCTTCTCATTCTCTGCACCCCTGCCCTCAGCACGGTGCTGGGTGCACTCAGTAAACATTTTTCCGGTCTTATTTTATGTCTTATGAAGGTGTGTTTTGATGAGAGGGAAATACAGGTGAGACGAGGGGAGAGGCCGTGTCACCTGGGAATTGCAGGTGTGCGACGTGGTCCTGGCCGTCCCGGAGCCCGAGCCCGGGGGGCGAGGTGGGACCCAGAGACCGCAGAACCTGCCACCACGGAGGAGGGCCGTTTCAGGGCGCCGGGCGCCTCCAGCAGCCTCTGTGCAGAAGCGGGAGCTTACAGGGAGCAGGGGACGCCGGTGGGACGTGGGACGTGAGCAGGTGGCGGGACAGGCCGCTGAGCGGCGCTCGCACCTGTACGACCACAGCATCAGCTGCCCAGGTCACAAGCTGGTTGGCGCCGAGGGAGGTGAGGGAGCCGACTAGAGACTGTTGAAGCCTTTAATCTTCATCTGTAAACGCTGGCAGCTCCTTGGAGTTTTGTTTTTTTTTTTTTTTTTACAAAATTTTTTTTAATGTTTTATTTATTTCTGAGAGAGAGAGAAAGAGACAGAGCATGAACAGGGGAGGGTCAGAAAGAGAGGAAGACACAGAATCTGAAGCAGCTCCAGGCTCTGAGCTGTCAGCACAGAGCCTGACGTGGGGCTCGAACCGACGAGCTGTGAGATCATGACCTGAGCCGAAGTCGGACGCTTAACCGACTGAGCCCCCCAGGCGCCCCTCTTCTTCGAGTTTGAGAGCAGAGGTGAGGTGCGTTCTGAGCCTTGCAGCCTGGAACTGAGCAGTGGAGAGAGGCAGAGGCCGCCGTGGGGGGGCCCCTGTGAGCAGGAGAAGCAGGTGCGAACCCAGGGCTGTCGCACAGGACAGGGGACGTGCCTGCTCTGAGCAGCCGCTCTGGTGCAGGCAGGGACGGGAAGGCCCCCGAGGCCCGTGTCCACGGCCTCACGTGAGACAGCAGGTCTCTTTTCAGGTGTCTTGACGTGCCTCCTTGAAGCACGTTCTTTGATTTGAATTTTTGAATTTCGCTTTCAAAACGTGTCGGGAGATGAAGTTCCAAGAGAGCAGTTACGTGATGTGTGTGTTTTTATCAGAAATTTTTTAGAGTAAGAATTCTAAAAGCACGAGACCTGAAAACTGTCAGGACCTCTGTTAGGAAAGGCGCCTACAATTGCTTCCGCCCCACAGCTAGAGTCCTTGGAAAGGGCCGATTCCGTGGCTCACGGGCTCTGTGGCACGCGGCGCATTGGAGGCCAAAGTTCTTTCTGAGAGCAGGTATGTCGCTCCAGTGCCAAAGTGGGGGGGACGGGGGGGTGAGACGCAGAGCAGGTGGGAAGGGAGGCTGATGCCAGGGGGGGTGGGGAGGACACCTGAGCCGATATGCAGGGACAGAGGGAACGAGGAGAGGCTGAGTGTGACAATCCAGAGGAAAAAGACCACAAGCTCCCATTCCATAATCGCTTCATCTTCACCAGGCCTGCCCCAAACGCGCTCACGCGCAGGCTTCTGTAACTCTCGTGACTGTAAACGCTGGTGTTGTGGGGGGCCCCACATACAGGGGAGGAAACGGGGCGTCCAAAGGGCCAAGTCGTCTATCCAGTGACGTATCCAGGGTCGCAGAAATGGCAGATGCGGCTCCCTCCCTCCCTGCTGTATTTTCCCAAAGAACAAAGAAGAGGAAGACCGGGACACAGAGATCAAGGTCACCCAGAGATGACACATTGGCAAAGGCCTTTTTTTTTTTCTTTCTTTTTTTTTTTTTAATTAAAATACCCAGTTTTGGTGAGAGTTCTGGGAAGCACCCCAGCCACACACTCATGATGAACCGTGAAACCTCCACAGGGCACTTTGGCAATGTACCTAAAAGCCTTAAGCAAGCGGCTGCCCCACACCCCAGCCGTGCCCTCCAGGAGCCAAGCCCATGCGAATGAGCAAAGGGCCGCAAAGACCTAGCTCCAAAGGCGTTGATCACAGCGCTCCTTATAGACCCAAAGATCAGAACATCCCAAATGTGCAAAAGCAGAAGAACCATTCATGGTGATTTCTTCTCGGTGAAATAACATGCAACCTGAAGAAGTTCCGTACAAAATACATGAATCGAGATGAAGAAACTTGGCAATGCGTTGGAAATGAAAAAGTATGTAGGCGGTGAGTCCAGCAGAGCCCAGTCAATCTTCTTCGGTTTTTAGGCGGAAAAGGTCTGTAAGGATGCACTCCAGAACGTTGACCCAACGTGCCTCTGAGCAGTAGGGTCCTCGGTGTTTTGGGTTGTCTGATTGTTTCATAAGTGAGCACGAATGTCTGAGGAAATTGCGTATTGGGTGGTCTGTGTGTTGGTGTGCGCAAGCACACGTAAGGGTCAAACACACGTAAGAAAAGGCTCTTGTTTCTGGGTGTTGAAGAAGAAAAGTTGTCAAGAAGAGGTGGAGCCTTCCGGTTGGCCCAGGAGAGCCCGCCTTCTCCTCACGGGCTCCATGCAGGGACCTGGGCCTGCCTGCGTCTTCCTGGGGAGCACACAGGACCCCCCCCTCATGCCTCTGGGAGATCTGGTGGGAGAGGGTGGACCCGCCAGGCCACCAATGTGGCTTGCGTAGAGGCCACTGGGGTCGGGCTTCGGTACTCTACACAAGCCATGACTCAGGAAAGGGCACCCCATCCACTGCAAGGGGGACCTGGGAACCGGGCCCAGGGGCCTCCTCCTGGCATGTGGCCAAGGCAGGTTTTTATTGTTCTTACCGACTAAAGGGCTTTCTTTTTCTTTTTTTTTTTTTCTTTTCTTATTCTTTTTCTTTTTCTTTTTTTTTTTTTGAGAAAAGAGAAATTGAGAAGAAGACAGTAACCATTTTCAGTCCCAGGTAGCTTTGGGTGTTCTCCGCTGTACTCCCACCATGCATGCTGTGTCTCAGCTCCTTTGACTTCCAGAAGTTCTTACCAAACCACAACGCGGAGGAGAAGGTCCGCACCCGCCCCGGCGAGGCACCTGCAGGACAGTGTGCCGTCAGGGACCGTGTGGCTGCACCTCTCTGGGAGCACTGGAGGTGGCCGAGCCCCTCGGCACAGCCCAGCCTGCGGGACCCCAGCGTCACGGAGCTGCGCTGGGAGGTGGCTGGTCGCAGAGGGGTGACATGGGGCTCGGAGCCCGCTCGCAGGAACAGAGCAGGCCCCGCCTGGCACGCCGTGCCCATCAGCTGGCCGTGCTCTGAGGGTTGCCTCCTAGTTTCCTCCATTGTCCGAAGGCAGAGACGCCTGGAGGGGCCCATCCCCCTGGGGTCCCTTCTCTTCACACAGAGCTTTGGCAAAGGGCCTGGCTCTCAAGATAAGGGTGGGTCAGTGCTGATGGCCACGGGAGACACGGGCCACCCAGTGGCCGGAGAGGGTGGCACTGGTGCAGATGTGATGCCAGCCTGGGAGAGGGACGGGATCAAATCCGGGGAAAGCGGCTGCACTCTCACCTACGATGGTGCAGCACGGAATTGAGAAGAGGGCCCGTGCTCCAGTGCTCCACCGCATGGTCAGGGACAGAGGTGGCGGCAGCCTCCATCACCAACAATGACAGAGATGGCTACAAAATGAACTGTTACAACGTGAAGAATTTTAATTTTTTAATTTTTTCCCTTACTTTGAGAGAGCACATATGCGTGGGGGAGGGGCAGGGAGACGGAAGTTGGGGAGAGAATCCCAAGCAGACTCCACACTGTCAGTGCAGAGCCCAACTCAAGGCTCGATGTCACAGATTGTGATCTCATGACCTGAGTCAAGATGGAGAGCCTGATGTTTGACCGACTGAGCCACCCAGGCGCCCCAAGAATTATTTTTAATACAAAGTACTTACATGTATTGTTAAGTGAACAAAGGCAAGAGAAAGCTTTGTTTGCCCTGCATTTCTTCCACATGAATACGCACAGGTGAAAAAACGAGTTGGCTGTCATAGAAGTGGGTGGTTGTTCCATAGTTTTCTTTCTTTGTTCTTTATACATTTCTTTAAATGAGACTATTATTTTCATAATTACAAAGGGGTCTTAAGAGAAGATTGAGGGGGACTTGAGGATATGGGTCCCTCCATTGGCAATTTATTGTTCCCCTGAGGGTGGAGCACTTTGCTTTGCGCTCCTGTGTCCTGCGGTTATGTGGGAGGAATGGTGGGCTCCAGATGCCACATCCCATTTTCTGGGTGATCCCCACTGGCTTGTGAATACCATCCACCCTCAGTTCATGTGTGTCCCCACGGGGCTTGGGGATTTAGGGCTCTGGAGACCCCCACCCACCCGTTCTTCCTGAGAATGTGCCTGCAGGCACCTGTCCGCCCAGCTGGTAGACCCCAGAGCCCTGCTTCCCGGAGAGGGTGCCCGTCTGTGGAGGGAGTGCGTGGTCGGGGATTTTGGAAACCCTAGCATCCACCTCTGGAGAAGCTGCGGCCTTAGGACACCCACGCGGCTGGGAGATCCCACGGCGAAGCTACCTGTCGAACAGGGCCTGGACCCATCAGACGGTGGAAGACTTTGTTCACGACACCTGCCGCCAACCCTCCACCAGGAACATGTCAAGGAAACTCTCACCCCCAAGAGCCCTGGAGAACCCGAGAGCTTGGAGCCCGGCATGGATCTCACCGGCATGCCTGACCTTCATGGACGTAGAGGCAGCTCAGCCTCTCCACTGCCCCCAGGCCCCCTCATCCATGGTGCCCCCCTGCCCGCCCGGGCAGAGCTGATCCCTCCCTCCTGGCTGGTCTGCAACGCCCTGGATCGAAGTCACTGGCGTGAACTTCTCCTGCCATGTTGTATTCATGTTTTCAGTGCCTTTCTCTCTTGTGTCCCCCTGGATGTTACGGGCCCCATCATTTATCTCTGTGGACCCCAGGCTTGCACACAGGAGGGGACCCCAGCCCCCGTCCCGTCTCTAGACGTCCCAGAAAAACGTCTAACAGGAGCGTATTCAGCCTCTCGCTTCTGTCCCTTGTTCTTTCCTGCGGGGATAAGCAGAAACTGCAGACACCATAACCGTCAGCCTGACATCCTTGGGTCTTTGTCACCTCAAAGAAGCCTTCCCTGACCACCCTGGGCTCAAGCTACACGCGAATCCGTCTCCCTCTTCTCCCCAGCGGGGTTTTCTCAGGGTGCATGCTCACCCAACACGTTGTGTCTTTATAGGTTTTTCTTGCCTCTTCACTGTTGGTCTGCCCCGGGGAATCCAAGCCCTACATTCCTGTTCACAGAGGTTTTTATACTCCGTTCGCTGCTCTGTGCCCAGAAGGTGGCACGTAAACAGTAGTCGATTTGTGAAGGAATGCACCTAATTATAGCCAGCATGTAACATCGCGTCTCCCCATGTGATCCCCTCACAGCATTTAACCCTCGGGACAGCTCCACGGGGACGGGCCTCGTTAGCCTCATTTCCGTGCGCGGCCTGGACAGCAGGAGACCCCTGCAAGGGACAGACAGGGGTAGGAGGGTGCATGCTGACAGCCCTGTGGGGGTCCCTGCGCCGGGAGGGGCGGGCCCTGAAGCCGGAATGGGAGACAGGAGGTGATTCAGAGCTTTCAGGCCGTGCTGGACTCCCCCAGAGGTGACACCCCAACACGTCCTGGGAGGTACAGGGGGTGTGACTCGGCATTTCCGCGGGCGACTCTCAGATGCTGATGCCTGCTAAGAAGTTGTTCCCGTTTGTTGGGGTAGAGGCAGGGTCATCCCTCCTGAGGCCCCAGCAGCAGGGCGCTCAGACAAGACCACGTCCCTGCCGCCCTTGGACTTGCTGAGGTGACAGAAGGTCACAGCAATGCTTCACTCCCCTCCCACCCTCAGTATTTCTGAGTCTCTCGTTTTCACGGAGATGCACGTTCAGCCGTTGAAATGTGTCCTGTGCATGCTGTCCTCCTTCCGGGGACACCACAGCAGGGCCGACTCTGAACCTCGTAGGGGAGAGCGAGGCGACAGTGCGTTGAGCTCTAAACCAGAGGCCGTGGACGGTGAGTCCTGTGTCCATGGGAGCACTCAGAGTATGGTTGCAGTGGTGAGACGGTCACTGGCGCCTGGTGACACTCTTCCCGTGGCTCAGGTGACTGTGGGGACAGTGTGTGAACGTACTGACCAGTGGTGCCCCGTAATGGGTAGAGGTGGGCACAGGAACCTCATGGCTTTCTAGAATGTGTGCCCCACCTGTGCCGGCCCTGAGGACGGGTCCTCTGCCGTAGTTGGGCGGTTCTTTCCCTCACCTGAAACTACATAGTGGGGCAGGCTCTGAGGAGAGGTCACGAACGGGAAGAGGTTGGTGCCCCTGACCCTACCCCTTCTGCCGCAGGGAAGGTGCCGGGAAACGGGGCACATGTGGGGAGCACTGGGGACAGGAAGAAGGGGACAAACATTGAGAGACTGAAGTACTTAGTGATTGGCTGGCTGTGGGAGTGACGGAGAATCAGGGTTGAGTCCCATGATGCCAGCTCGAATAACTGGGTGAATCGGTGCCATTTGCTGGGATGGAGTTGTCCCTGGCAGGAGACCACGTTCATAGAGCGAACCGTTGACAGGGAGGTCCCTGCAGAATTTCCAAGTGGAAACATACATGGTAATCACATGTGTAGTGCAGAGAGAAGAGCGTATCTGCGTTGGCTGAGGTGGACGGTATCTGTGGATAGTTGTTAGCCCTTGGGTAGTAAGGGGATCTGTGGGTTGTGCTGAGTTTGCTTAGAAGGGAGTATAGAATCAAGAGACGAGCCTACAGGACCCCCCGAGGTAAGGGGTGGGTTCAGGAGGAAAAGTAGGGATGGTAATCAAGATGGGGAGCCAGACAAGTGCTAGAAAGATCCAGGGAGGGTCTTGACCAAAAAGGCATCTGAAGGCAGTGATGTAGGAGGGCTAGCCAGAGACCAAGTATAACGATGGCCAAATACAGTCTTTCCGATTTTGCCCGACCCGGTGACTTTGGCTGCCCTGCCCCAGTGGAAAGGTTGGGGTAGAGGCCAGGCTGGGATTGAGAGGTGCAGACTCAGAGGTGGCGTGTGTAGAAGTTGGGCCGTGAAGAGGCGCAGCAGGGGTGTTCACAACCCGTTCAACACCCTACCCTCCTTTCTGATCACCCCACAAGGCCCAGGCCAGGCCTCCTCCATGCAACCCTCTCCCCTTCACCCGTTATGGCTGACCTCTTCCTCCCCACACTGCCTGTACATCTATTCTTTATTGGACCCTTCAGTGTTTAGTCTGCATTTCCTTGTTCTATTTATTTTTATTGTTACTATGGTTGTTGTTATTTGGGATGTATGTTTCCTCTTCCCAACCACAACGTCTCTGAATCACAGACCTCCCTTCTCTTCTGTCTCCCCCATGGTACCCATCGCCACCTTCCAGGGTGTGTATGAGCAATGAAATAAATGGCTGGCTGATTTCTGATGAGTTAGGGCAAGGCCATTCCTGGGTTTTTTGTTGACTCTTCAAGTGTACCTGGAGCAAATGTTGATTATTCCTGGATGATTTAAGCCTTACTTGATGCGCCGTCGGTGGTGAAAGCCATTGGCTGTCAAAGTGAGCTCCATCTTTGCAGATCAGCATTAGCTGTGGACTCTGGCATGAAGCCAGCCTTGGGCCTGAGTCTTCCAGTGCCGCCAGCCAGCTTCACACAGAGAGTGACCCAGCTCAAGGGCCCCCATTGCATTCTCTAAACTCATTTGTTGTGGTTGGTGCATTATCACAGCCTAAAGCACTGCCATTCATTCTGCCGGTCAGTGTTGATCCAGCTAGGTCATAACCTACCCAGTGGACCTTGCCCCCCTCTTGCCGACAGTGGTGGATAACGTGGAGCTACTCCAGCGGGAACCCTAATGTAAGATCACTGAAAACCATGTCTTCATTGTAACGTGCCTGCCTTTTGTCTTTGAAATTTGCAAACATGTCCATCTCATGGCTAATGAAAACTCGGCTATGCCTGTGGTTGCTGAGGTAGTTGTTTACAAGGGACGTTGTAGCTTTGGAAATATTCTCGAGCGCCGTCTCTCTTTCCTCCCATCTGCAGCCACCCACAGTGGACACCAAGTCATCAATGGTTCTTTTCCACGTGCATCTGCGCTCTCGAGAATGCTCCTGTTGGGGTACTGGAAAGTGCGTTTCTCTGTCCGAACCAGTGCGGGCAGCTGTTTTTATCATGTGGGGTGTTCCCAGGCTTTGGCTAAAGCCAGATTGTTGAAAAGCGCCCCCAACATATCAAACCTTCCAAGAAGCCTAAAACCAGTACGGAGTCCTGGCCAGGGAGCATTTTCAGGCCACGTGAAAATGCTGGATGTGAGGTCGAGTAACTGGCCTCTTTGTTCCTGAGATCCTAAGGGCAGTTGGAATGAGTGGTGGTGGTCTGACCCCATGTGGCACCCTGTTCTCTTCCCCACAGATCCTAACTGGGCCAGTTTGAACCTGGGAGCCCTCATGTGCATCGAGTGCTCGGGGATCCACCGGAACCTTGGCACCCACCTTTCTCGAGTCCGATCTCTGGACCTCGATGACTGGCCCATCGAGCTCATCAAAGTGATGTCATCCATCGGGAATGAGCTGGCCAACAGCGTCTGGGAAGAGAGCAGCCAGGGGCGGACGAAGCCCTCGCTGGACTCCACAAGGTAGGGACGTGGGAAAGTGTGTGGCTCCGGGGCGTTCTGCCAACAGTTAAACAGTTGGAAATGACCTTATTGACAGTCTCAACTGGAATGGCCCCGGTGACCTATAGGAATACCGAGGAGCCCAGCGCGGAAATGTCTGTATTTAAAATTGGCTTTCAGCAGACGTGGATAATTCAGACTCCTTAATTTTTTATGTTTGTTTTTACACCTTGGGGATTCCTCTCTCCCTCTTAGAAATGTATGAAGCTTCCAACCTTATGAATATATCACTTTAATTAATACATTTCTAATAGGTGTAAGCTGTGCTGTTAACACTAATTATGAATTTTTGATTCTTTAATTTTGTTATTCTTATGTGTTTGATAAGCATCTACTCAGTCGGTTTTCCTCTCCCCTCCCCCACACACCCACAATAAGTGAGTTTATAGTAACAAAATATATTTTATTTTTCTAAAATATGTTTCTAACACATTTAATCAGCCAAGTTCGGCATAACGTATGGTGAGTCCTCATTAATGTTAATTGTTATCCAGTGTAAAAAACGCATTTATTTTGAGCCCATTTATTTTCTCATTTTTCATTTACAGCTATTATAAACCGTTTTTGAGTACATATACATATTTAATGTACCTAAGAGGTGATAAAATGGCATGTCTTCCGAGCAAGCCCGCTTCACAGAGGAGCGTGGGCCATTCCATCTCAGCGGGCGGCTCCCCGAGGAGGGGGCATCTAGGGTCATGCCTCCACTTCTGACCAAGGGGCGAGGCTCTCACTTTCCGCTCTGGCCTCTTGGGTGTGTGAAAAGAGGAAAGGAGAAAAGGGGTCTCCCATCATTAGCACTTCTTAAAGCGCTGCGGCTTGTGGTGCTGGTGATAAGACAGTGTGCAAGTGCACATGGCGGCCTGCGGTTGTGCCCCAACACGAGGCGTGAGAAGACGGTTTCTGCCGCTGAGCAACGATAATGTGTGAAACGTCCGTGGACTTTGTTTCATTAACGCTGAAAAATGAATTTGTGGTGCCACCTTCGGTTCACTTTAGAGAATGAAGCTGGTGTGTTATTCACCTGCTCTTCACATCACGCGCCCCTGTGGGGAGGGGGCGAGGCGAGCAAGAGGCGCCCAAAGCGTGTTCGGCTGGCCTTGCCTCAGCTTGCCGGGTGAGCTCCTCATGGGTGAGCTCTACTGCGCAGTGCAGTGGGCACTTTCCTACGAGCTGGAGAAATGCTACACTTCTTCGAATTTTTTATCTTGATCCATTTAACACTAACATAGAAATTAGCAGGCCATCAAGTAGCAGCATTCTTAAAAGACGAATTCGTGTATTATTAATATCCATTTTTTCACAGATACAGTTTCCTTAGAGGGTATTTAGGCCTAAAGGTGAAGTATGATCGGAAATCAGATTGAGCTTAATGTATGAGTGCAGAGAACGTTGAAATCAGTTGGAAAAATATTAATCATGCATTTTATTGTTTGTGTGCTTATGTGTAAAAGGAGCAGATATGTTATTTTCAATATCCTGCATTGGAAACGTTTGTTTTTCCAAAATCTGTCATAATTAGCCACCGTTTGGAGTGTTCAGAAACAAAGATATGGGTTGATACTTTTAACTGATAAATGTTTTATATCAATTTCATCTTCGTTCATTATGTGAAGGTTGTGTATGTACAGGGACTTGATCGTTCTATTTGATTTACGCTCTTGAGTGCGTAACTTTCTCCTCTCTCCAGCTTTATACATGTCACATCTTTATATTTTGGAGACATTTCAAAGTCTTCCTTTCTCCCAACCAGAGTGACCACAGCAAAACACCAGCTTTTCTTGGGTCCCCTTCACTGTTCCCTAAGAGCTGCTCTCAATTTCAGCCCCCTCTCTGAGGCTGTGGCGACGGTGATGTTGCAATGTGGTGTTTCCAAAGGTAGCTTTGCGATTTCTAAGAGGTTGACCCGCTTTGAGAATTGAACGTCTCTTTGTGCCTTTAGTAATTTTCCCAGGGAGTTTTGTTTTTAATTCATATTCAGCTGTTATTCACTGAGCGCTTTCTCGTAGAAAAGAACCGATAGATGGTGATTCGCACCCTGCAGTGATTTGTGAATGTTCACAGGGTCGGCTGAGGGTGCCAGGCCTCAGGAGAATTCACAGAAAGGAGGGATTCCTACAGCCGGTGTACCCCGGGGAAGTTTCACTGGAGAAATGGCATGTGAACTGGACTTTCAAGTGTGGGGTGATGTCCGGGCCTTGGGGGTGGGGCGTGCGGGGGAATGAACACGGCCGGGGCAAAGTCGGGGCCCGTGTGGAAGTAAGAAACTGGGTGGGCACCAACCGTGGAGCTGGACCTCCAGGTGAATGAGCAGGAGGGGGTGTTGAGTCCAGAGCAGAGCAAAGAGCGGGAGAACCTTTGAGCTGGGGTGTATTAGAACAGCAGCTCCGGAGTGGCCAGAGGGTGAGGGTGATCTGCCTGTTCCGGGAGTGCTAACCGCAGCCAGCAGTGTTGTCGGGCAGGATGGAGACGAGGCAGGGAGGCCCATTGGACGGCTGTGGTCCCGGTGGGTTGCACCTAGAAAGCCACAGATACATTGTCAAAAACAGTGCATCAGTTGTGCACCGGTAATTCGAACCTTCACCGTCTTCACTGCCTCGTGCAGTTTCCTCACCTAGAAAGGAAAAACGCAAGGTTTGGGCTAGAATCTCCGCGCGGAATTCGGTCTGTGAAAGGAGACCGGATGTGGAACCTGGATCCCGCCTTCCCAGGCCGAGGAAGCGTGCCCCCTCCCCACCCACCGCCTGTGGTCTTTGCAGAGCCCATGACGTTAGTCCAAACAGCTGGGGGGGGGGCGGTCTTCTAACGTGGCCCTAAGGTAACACTAAAAAGAAATACTTTAATAAATTTGTATTCGTGCCCAAGGAAAGGCCAAGCGCAGTAGATCCAGCCTAGTTCTTTGGAAGAGGGCCCAGCTGCCTTTTCCAGGCAGCCCCGTCCATTCCGTCGTGTTCGGAAGATTCATTCTGACGTGGAGTATAATTAGAAATGTGCCGTTCCTCCCCCAAACACACATGGCGCACGCGCGCGCACACACACACACACACACACACACACACACACGACCGTGGGGAAGTAGAATAGAGCCCATCTTTCTGCAGAGAAACAACTGGGTCCCCGAAACCACCTTGCCAGGTGTCACCCAGGCCTGCGGGTCAGTTAGGAAAACAGGCGCCTCTGACCAGCTGGCTGGCCTGCTGCTCACTGTCCCCGCACCCCTGATAAGGGCAGCTTCGGATGGCTCATAATTGGTTCCGGGGATTCTCGGCCGCCTTGAGAACTGCCGCTCAAGCCCAAGCAGCCTTGTGATCAATCGAAGCTGACGGCGCTGAAGCGGTATTGACTTCCCCTTCCTAAACCGGGGAATCATTAGTCAAGAAAAGCATCTTTTAATTACTCCCAGGAAGAAAAAAAAAATCTTTTTGGATGGATTCTGCAACAACTGCCATTTTTTTCCAGTGCATTCGATATTAAATTTATTGTCTCAGGAGGGGAGAGGATGCCCTTCAGCCCCCCTCAGTAATGGAGGTTTAATTCAGAGAAAGGAACACGGGAGAGGTTATCGATGCTGCGACAATTAACTACATCTGGGCTGGAATCAGAATTCCCCCTCTCTAATTGCTATTGATACCATTTAAGCACACACTTAAAATATTGATTTTAAGTGCGGATGCTGATGTAGGAGAGTGGTGGTGACGATGGAATTTACTAGATTTTAGGGGCATAAGGAGGGGGAGTAGTAGGCTGTGCGTGGGGCCAGGACTGCAGGACACTGAGCACGTGAATTTGCGTATCGCACCACAGGCTGTGCTGCTGTGTGCAGTTGGACGTGGGGTCCGGAGCAGCCGGGCAGGGCTCTGGTCCCAGTGTTAGGACGCACGTTGTAACCGTGACCCCAGCGTCTTTGGTGACCCCCCCCCCCCCAAATCAAGGAATCCTAGGCTCAGAGGCAGAGATACTAAAACCATCAAGTGCGTGTTTCTCGAGTGAATGAATGAACAGACGAGCCAGTGGGGCAAAGCAGGAACAGGTCCGCTTGGAACCCACGTGTCCGGTGCACTTGCTGCTCAGAGCATCGAATTCCTCGTGCGCTCGTGGAGGAAATCGGGGCCCCGTGTTTGCCGGCACACAGCAAAGCCGTCTCTGCAGACCTCTGACATCTTCTCTGCTCCTCTTCCACGTTCCACTTTGGAAGCTCTTCAGATTGACTACGGGGACGCCAGTTTCCTAGCAGGGCCGGGCGGAGCCCCCCGATGCGTGTTCCTCGTGGCCGAAGCAGGACTCTACTCGGCTGCCTGGTTTGTCTCCCCGTCTCCCGTCTTTGGGTCTCAGCGTCGAGGCATCTGTCCCGTGACGGTGTGCAGGGACCAGCGGCCGCTTGCGTTTCAAGGCAGGTAGCCTGTTTACACGGGGGTCTGAGAGCCAGCCGATTCGGTCTCGGAAATCAAAGGAGCCTGGACGTGTGTTTTCAGTGCTGTAAAGAGCCCTTGGGAGCAGCTCGAAGCCCAGCTGAAACCCCCCTTCCTTCTGATCCCACTTGGAAGGGAGCCGAGTCGCTGATTTAGTATACACTCTCCTGCCTCTCTGAACGTTCTTTTTCTTTCTGTCATTGTCACCTGCACGCCTCAACTCCCCTCTTGTCTTTAACCTATAAAAAGATGCCACCTTCGGGAGGAAGATTTGGGGCCGGACGTCAGAAATCTGCGTGGGAGAGACTGGCCGCACACTTCCAGATGGAACAAGTCTGCCCAGTATCACAAGTTCCGGTCCTTTTTGATTTGGGAACGCCACTTTCATCTTATTTATGCGCACGGAGATATTGATAAAGGGGAAATGTATCCAAACTGAAAATAATTGGATCCCTACCGTTAACTCTGAGATATTAAAAGCAGTACCACTTGGCCACGTCTTTGTCTCGTTAGGTTTGATCGTAAGATCACAATATAGTAATCTCAAGCTCA